ACTGCTGTGGTGCTGCCTCCCCTCTCCCACTCCGTACTGTGGAGATGATGCTGGGGGAACCGGTTTTTAAGCTGGCTCCCCGCAGCACTGGCTCCTGCTCCCTCCTCCCCCGTGCTGCCTCTGATACAGAGGGACCAGGGGGGTAGGGATGCGAGAAGTCAACTTGACTAACCCATAAGCCCAGGCCTATTGGGTAGCTGACTGCTTGCTTACATCCCTAATTATTAAATATTCTTCTCTTTCAACTGCATGTATTCTAGCACAGAAAACATCACTTATCTTGGAATCTGAAAGACACTGCACATGGAAATCTATAAGCCTAAGCAAGAGGGACAGAGTAAACTACATATACATTCTGTGTAGATCACCTTCATATTTTTGTTACCTACCTGCAGGGAATTCCAAACAATATCCTCCCATTGGAGGCCTGAATTGTTTCACTAGGACAATGCAATCATAGTGGAGAGTTCTTAGTAACACAGGTATAACTGATACACCTGCAAGTATAAAGGAAAGAGCAATGAAAAACACAGCATGTGGGTAGTTCAAACACTGACACTAGTCTTGTGAGCACCCTCAACATCCATTAACTTAAGATGACTAATATATTGTTTTCTGCTGGATGGCCTCATCTCCACTTAAGCCCCAATAAATCATCAGAAACTCTGGGTCTGAAAACAACAGCTCCACCCAAGTACCCTAGAGTCTTTCCTCTGCTACTACAATCTTACATCTTTCCACTTAACTTTGGTCCCCAATACCCGTGTCCAAACAAGCTACAGTTCCTTTGAAGGCCCAGGATCTTGACTGACTTCATATTGGAAAAAAATCATAAAATCAAATATATTTTCAGATATTGATTTTTCCCAGACTATGGATCCATTTTTCCTGCAATATTTTGCTGCGTGGCCTGATCCTTCAAGCAGTGCTTACTCCAGCCTTCACAATGACATCAGAGTGATTATTCACAAAAATCAGGGCAGTGATTTGTAAGTTCCTTGAGGGCAGAGGCTCCACTCCTTCTAAGCTACACTTGATCAACAGTAAAACACCCTACATGCCTATGGCACTATATACATGATTTATACTATTCATTTTATTTTACTCTTACTTTCTGCATCTTTTTATTGTGGCAGTTGCTGCCATTTGATGGAAGCAGACCACCTCACCATTATTAATACCAGAAGAAGTCAAGCACAAAAATGTAACTGGGGCCATACCATCAGCTGAACTTCCCTCTTTCCTGGTAGTACGCTTCACTGTTTCCCAAATTCTGTAGGGTAAGGAGAACACGAGAAAGTGGATATGTTAATCCTAAAAAAGGAAATGTATGAAATATACACACTTTCCACACAACTGGCCAACTTGAAACTTTGTTACATTCATTCAAAAGCAACACATGCAAACATACAGTGAGCGTGGCACTAAGGAGCAACAGCCACGAGGCAAGCCCCCATACTAAATTTTCGCTGTAACGTATCCCTAAGGTCTCAGCCTCAATTTTGTTTCACCTTTAGTTAGAGACAGTCTGGCTACCAAATGTTTTTTGCTGGTTGCTTAAGACAATAAATAAATATTTAGTTCTTATACAGCTCTTTCAAAGCACTTCACCAAGGAAGACAATTGTCATTCCAAATGACAATGACAACTGTCATTCTCTGTTTTACAAATGGAGACACTGAAGCACAGAAGTGAAATGAAGACAGCAGTTGATTTATTTAGATTGGTTATTTTGAAGAGCTGCAACGTAAGACAGAAGACCCAGATTTTAAAGACTGGCTATTTTGGAAAAAAGCAATAAACAAATACATTCTGTCTGCATCATGCATGACAATCATGTGAAAATAAAGCAGGTTACTGCAAAGGCTCTTAGCTCAGTTACCCATTCCAGTTAGTAACTGGAAGTCAAAAATGGCACAGGCCTCTCTTGCAACTCAGAAAGTAAGTGATGAAACTGACAAAAAATAAACCTGTCACACAGGCCTCAATCACTGCCACTTCTTGAGGCTACTCTTAAAGGGGAGGAAGACTCTAGAGAGAGCAATCAGAAAGGACCTCAATGCACTAGGAAGAAGGAAAATAAGGCAGCACTGTCATTTCCAGTCATCACAGCTAATCTAAAAGATGAATCTGACACATGAAGAGAATTAGGCCAGAGAATATGAGTGAGAGGGTCTGAAGAAGGGAAGATGACTCTCCTCCAAACAACAACATCCCAACAACATGCAAGACCCTGCATTGTTTCAGGCATATGCCATCAACAGGGGAAAGGGAGTTCTCTGGAAAGGACCAGAAAAAAAACAAAGGTCTGTTTGAATGTTAAAACCTTGCAGCATTAATTCAGCATATCTTTGCAAGTGACTGGAACTGCAAGATAAGCACATGGTCCAAATCCAAGGTATTAGTCTACATCAGAGATGGCCAAACTGTGACTTATGAGCCACATGTGGCTCTTTTACAGTTAGAATGTGGCTCATTAAGGTCTCCCCCCTGCCACCATTCTCCACCTATCATACTGGGAAGAGGGAAGGGAACACTGGTCTTCTGCCTTGCAGCTGGATAGTGAGGGTAGGGGTTTTTGCCCAGTGGGGAAGGGAGGAAAAAGTGTCTGGCAGGTGCACCTAGCTCTCAAACTTCTGAAGATTACCATATGTAGCTCGGGGGTCAGTAAGTTTGGCCACCCTGACCTACAGGATAGAGTTTAACAGCTAACATATATTCCAACAACAAAAAGGCCAAATTCTTCCTCAAAGTAACTCCATTAACGTTCAAGGAGTAATCTAGCCCAGTATGTCAAGTATTGGTTTATAGGTGTTCACATTACATTACCCTGGGCTGGTTCAGTCAGAGAAACTGGGAAGAACTGCAAGAACTTTAAAATGCCACAGGAAGGTAGTTACCTGGTTTTGCCCGAGGGATCAATGTAGGTCGTCTGTTCAAGCTTCACCCATTTTCTTTCTGCGATTGCCTAACAAAAATAATAAACAAATTGGGAGGTTGTCCCCACAGAGGGGGGAAAGACAAGTCTTAAATTCAATGTATGTGTGGGAAGCTGTAACACCAGTATGAAAACACAAGTACTGAGGAGTTCTCAAAATAGGAATATAAATAACTCATGTAACATATGTACAGCCAGGTTGCAATTTTCAAACCAGTTTAGAGGAGTCAGAGACCTACATTTCAATCTGGAAGCCCAAGTCCTTTTGGCTGCTTTGAATGTCTCAGTCCCGATCTTTAAAATAAAACATGAAGGCAATTCCCTGCCCTTAGGGGGCTAGCATGAGCTGTGCGTAAAAGGGGTATGATGAGGAATTTGCCTCTCTGGGCATTAGCCATAATGGGGGTTATGACTGCTCAGTCATATGAGATCTGCAAGTCAGGAGAACGGGTTCTATTCCCGACTCTGCCACTGACTCACTTTGGGACAGCACCATTCTTCCCATATGTAACACAGGAATAGCAATCCTTACCTACTTTGAATGCCTTCGGAGATCTACCAATGAAAAGCTCTAGTAATGATAATGCCTATCAACTCCATGGCCACCCAGATGCCTGCTGGACTTTTTGTGGCTGGGCAGAGGTATTCCTAACTACCTGAGACTTAAGTGTTTTGCCCATTCACTTATGGTCACTTGCAGGAGGTTGGAACTAGATGTTAGTTTTGCCGTTTCATTTATTATGGTTTGCACTATCATGGCTGAGAAGTCTTTCCTAACTGAATGGCTGCTGAGAGGGCAGACAGATGACTCCTGCATAGGCTGGGGAGGCTTGGGAATAGGTTATATCAGCAGGGTGATGCCAGACCAGTGGCACTAGGAGCAGCAAGAGATGAAAGAGAAGGACTGGCAGCCAGAGAGATTTCCAGGTAGCCTTTGGGAGTTGTGATGGTGGATAAACAGGAAGAATCTCTAGAAGCCAGCCTCAACGCAGGCATCTCCTGCTCTGCCTCCTCTTACCACCTCCTCAGTCCTAGTGCTGCCGCTGGCAAGAGCATCCGTGCGGGGGGAGGGAGGCCCGGGGGAGGGAGCCCTGGTGAGGCGTCTCCTGCTCTGCTTCAGCCCCAGGGTTGCTGCTGGCAAAAGCGGCTGCATGGGAAGGGGGAGTGGCCATTGGTGGCGCATGCCCCTCCCTCCCCAAGCACAGATTGGGGAGGAAGGCATCTCCTGCTGCCACTGCTGCCGCCGGAGGCGCCCGCCCAAGCCTGGCAGCCAGCAGTGTGGGGCCAGGCAGTGGGCCGCAGCCCGGCAGCTGGGAACCGCTGTCTTAGAGAGAAACTGCACTCCAATGTTAAGTGACCCAGAATGAGAAGTACTCTACTGCTTTAGTAAAAAGTCATGGGCCGCGGGACTGTGACTTCTATCCTCAAACAGTGCCACAAGAAGCGTGGTGAATGGAAGCATGCCTCCATTCCTACATCCACCCATCCTCCCTAACCCCTCCAGCTGCTTACCCCCACACTGCCCATCTCCCTGCCTCCATTCCTATATCCTCCTCATCTCCACCATCCCCCTTTACGGCACCACCCATCCCCATATATACCCTATCCCCCTTCCTCCCACCCTACACACACCCTGCCCACTCCCACAAAAGGGGAACCTAACCAGCAAGGAAATAGCACCAGCAGGCTAGCAGCTGTTCCAAACGCTGCTGGGGTGCCACTTTGTGACACCTCAAGGGGCAGTGGGTAGGGGGGGAATGAGGCCCCCGACTGGAGCCATGCAGAGTCCATTTGGGGGTGGGGCGACATGTGGGGGAGGGGTTGAACTGCCAGCCCACATGGCGCAAAGTCCAGAGGGACTGGAACAAAGGCCCGATGGGGGTGGTGTGGTGGGGGGCGGGGGCTAACTCCCTGACCCATGCTGCACAAAGCTGGCAGCAGGGGAAAGGTCTAGGTGCGGGGGTTAACCCCCAGTCCGTAAGGCGGGGAACCGAGAGTGGGTCAATGGAGGGATTCCCCCTACGCCCAGCGGAAGCATGTCCATTAAGATGGCATGGAGGCAGCCTGGCGCACCCAGTGCATTGTGGGACTGGGCTAGGAGTCCCATTTGCAGGAGGCAGTAGAGGGCCAACCCACGCCCCCCCTCCCTTTACTCCCCCAAGCAACCCACAGCCGAGGGCACGCAGGGGCTGCGGGCTCCAAACTGCTCCAGGCTGCAGCATGTCTCTGCCTGGGGCCCGATCCCGTGCTGCCTTGGCCCGCTGAGAGAGAAGTGGAGGCCTTGCCTCCCTCTGACCTTCTCAAGTGGCTCCTGACTTGAGACGCCCAGGAGAGAGTGGGCAGAGCAGGGCTACGAAGTGGCTGGTACATGTGGGGTCAGGCTGCCTTGCTTCCTAGCCACCTGCTCCCTGGCCCATGCCACCCTACCATTGCCAGCTCTGAAGTAGCCCAAGGTACCATGAGATGGACAGCCTCCTTCCCACCCCCCGTAGCCCTGCTTCTCCACTGTGCCCAAGGGAGGCCTCACAGTTCGCAGCCACACAGAGCAAGGGGGAAGGTGGTGGGAGAGCTGAGGGAGGGGACTCAAGAGTGACGCATTATGTCACTTCCGTCGTCCTACAAGAAAAGTTCTCTTTAATATAGAGAGATGTTTTAAACAACCATTTAACTCCAATGACTTAAAAACACTTTAGAGAAAGGATTTCATTGTTAAAAGAGTCAACATTCCTTCATCTTAAATAAGGTGCACAAGGCTCACACAAAAAATCCACAATACTCTCCAGACACCATCATTATAAGCAAAGAGTACTAGATCTGATACTGCTAAGCTAGAAAAAGCTTTTGAAAAACAAATCTAAAAGTAAACAAGTAAACCTGTCAAGTCCTCCTTTAGGTACTATAAAGTAATAAGAAAGGCACACAATTTTTAAAAATCCTTTGCACATAATCTTTAAGAAAAGGAAAATATAGGTTGAATATCAAAAAGCATTGAGTTCAGTTACAGTGGTATGATCTCTCAAGGGAAGTGGTATGATCTCTCAAGGGAAGTGGTGAAAGTCCCATTACTTCAGACACTAAAAGCTAGCCTGAATAGCTTAAAAAGTATTACAGGCAGTCCCCGGGTTACGTACAAGATAGGGACTGTAGGTTTGTTCTTAAGTTGAATCTGTATGTAAGTCGGAACTGGCGTCCAGATTCAGCCGCTGCTGAAACTGACCGCCAGAAGTGGTATGATCTCTCAAGGGAAGTGGTGAAAGTCCCATTACTTCAGACACTAAAAGCTAGCCTGAATAGCTTAAAAAGTATTACAGGCAGTCCCCGGGTTACGTACAAGATAGGGACTGTAGGTTTGTTCTTAAGTTGAATCTGTATGTAAGTCGGAACTGGCGTCCAGATTCAGCCGCTGCTGAAACTGACCGCCAGTTCTGACT